TGAACTGCTGACTGCTCATAACTTGCAGCTGATTGTTGACACATCAACCAAGATTAAGGGGCAGGGCAATTTGTGACTGTTGTTGTTTTCTTAATCAGAGGCTATATTTGAGGTGGAGTGGTTTCTCCTCTCCTAGGCAATCAGCAATTAGTACCGGGAGGTGTGCTCTTTACCTCTGCAAGGCAATTGGCAATTAGTGTTAGTATTTCAGTCTCCCGTTTTCTCAGCGGAAGCTATAAGTGGCGGTCTCGTTCGAAAAACTAAGACCGTCGCCGAAACAAAGACTTCTGCAGAGTTGTTCTGCGGAGTTGTTCGAGGAAGGAAAGAGAGAAAGTTGTATATTTTGATTGATATGTAATGTTAGTGCCTTAATGTGTTTGGACCCCAGGAAGAGTAGCTGCTGCTTTGTTAGCAGCTAATGGGGATCCCTAATAAATACAAAGGCTCCACACCACTCTCTCACTTGAGTATCTTAACTAGTTATTTTCAGATCTCATTTTGCTCTTTTGTATCTTTGACAACTATGTGTGTGTTTTCTATACCCATTTGCTCGTCTCCCTATAGCCTTTACAGACGCTCCCCACTCCTTGGCTGCAAGCCTTCTAATTTAGTGTACCTTGCAAGCACAACCCACTTGGAATTAATTGTCTCTGGCAGCATTTGGAACTGCCGATCTGCGGTCAAGAACGCAGAGTTCATCTTTGCCTATGTTGCCCTTCAGTCCCATGACTTTTTGGCCCTGATGGAGACATGGATCACCCCAGAGAAGACATGACTGCAGTTGTGCTGTAGAATAAATTATATACATTAGTTTATACTGGATTAAGTGTATATTTTCGTAAACTGTCATTTCGTTAGTTATGTTCCAACATTTTCTCCATCTTGTGCCAATATCAGTTATTTTTAAGTCTTGGTTCGAATAATAGATTGTCAGCTGGATAGGCGCTCTGCAAGGTTTTGTATATCCTCTACGGGATCGGTGTCCCTATACCGGGACGGTTGCTGCTCAATATGCAACTATTACAAAGCCAACTTTCCGGGACATAGACATGTCTTATATGGGCAGAAAGCTTAAATTCTTGTTAATCTAACTGCAGTGTCCAATTTACAGTAGCTATTACAGCAAAGAAATGCCATGCTATTGTTTGAGGATAGTGCACAACAAAAAACGTATCACGGCAACTGGTTTGATACATTCACCTCTGAAGGTAAATAATGTACTTCAGTAATCTTTCTCTGATTTGTCATGCGGAGGGTCGCAGAGATAAAAATGTAGCATAGTTTTGTTTGATAAAATCAATGTTTATGTTCAAATGTAGGAACTGGGTTCAACAGTTCAACTGCTGTTTCTGGCGCCAATAGAGTTGGACTAATTTCTTAGTCTTATTACGAGTCGCATGTGAGGTATTTATAATATCATACATGATAAATATTATGCCCACTACAGTTCCATTTAATTAGATCTGCTTTCATATTGTTAAGGGATAAAGTTATCTTTATATATTTGTTCTTTGTTGTCACTTATTAAGCATTCAAAGTATTTGTAATTTTTTGTGGTCCACTTTAAAGGATTCCTGTAGATCATGAGTTATTATTTTTCGTATTGCCATTATTATTATTATTTTTCACGTTAATTGTATATCCTGAGATTTTAGAGTATTCTGAAAATATTAGTTTCCTTTTCTGTCTCCCTCTCCTCCAACCCTAGCCACTCAGCCCCTCCCCAGCTGGTCATGCGTCGTCACGATCTTCGCTCTCCCTCACTCTCTCCTCTTCTATCCTATCATCTCTCCCTTCCGCTAAATCCTTCTCCCTCCTGATTCTGCCTCTTCGACCCTACTCTCCTCCATTTCTGCATCCTATGACTTGCACTGTCCCCTTTACTCCCGGCCGGCCCTCCCCTCCTGCTCCATGGCTGAGTGACTCATTGCATGCTTACAAAATAGGGCTGCAGGCAGCTGAGCGAAAATGGAGGAAAACTAAACTTCCAGAGGACCAATCATCCTTTCTGCTGCTAAAGCCACTTTCTATCACTCAACATGTCAAGCTTCTGCCTATAACCCTAGGAAACTCTTTTCCACCTTCTCCCTCCTTAATCCTCTACCCCGCCTCCTCCCTCTCTGTGGACGACTTTGTCAACCACTTTGAAAAGGTTGACGACATCCGCTCCTCATTCACTCAGCCTAATGAGTCCACTGGCCCCACTCACACAGAACTACCCTACGCCTTGACCTCTTTTTCCCCTCTCTCTCCAGATGAAATCCTGCAACTAGTGAGTTCTGGCCACCCAACTACCTGCCCTCTCGACCCCATCCCCTCCTCCCTTCTCCAGACCATCTCTGAGACCTTCTCCCATTCCTCACTTCCCTCACCAACTCATCCCTGACCACTGGCTGTGTGGCCAACTCATCCCCTCCTCAAGAACCAAACACTTGACAACTCTGACGTCAAAAACGGCATACCGGTATCACTTTATTTTCTTTCCAAAACACTTGAGCGTGTCGTCTCTGACCAATTCTCTCACTATCCCTCTCAGAACGATCTTCTTGACCCTAACCAGTCAGGCTTCAAGACAGGTCACTCAACTGAGACTGCTCTTCTCGGTTACGGAGGCTCTCCGCACTGCCAAAGCTGACTCTCTCCTCTGTTCTCATCCTCCTAGATCTATCCGCTGCTTCGACACCGTGAACCATCAGATGCTCCTCTCCACCCTCTCAGGGCTGGGCATCTCCGGCTCTGCACACTCTTGGATTGCATCCTACCTGGCAAGCCGTTCCTACCAGGTGACGTGGAGAGGATCCGTGTCTACACCATGTACTCTCACTACTATGGATGTGACAAATGGCCAGTTTTGCTTAATGTTTAAACAGCCATAAAAAAATAAAAATAAAGGTTTTCCGTTACATCTACCACAACCCTTTACAGACAGAATGCAGCTACAGTAACATGTCGATAGCGACAATAACCTTTCAGACAATTAAAGTGCCGCATCAGATGCGTCTGTACCTTTTCAGACAGTAGAATTCTGCTGCGGCATAGAATGTTCTGTATCGTTTCCCTGGCGACAATACATTTTCCTGATTGATGTGCTGCTGTGTTTTTTTTTTAAAGTTAGGGTAGCTAGATGCATTTTCTTTCTATTAAATGTCTTGGTAAGTGAAACTTGAAAGTACTTTCTTAGGAGAGAGTGGTCTGCGAGCAGGCAGCTGGCAAGGCACAGCAACTCGAGATTATTTGATTGACAGTTCTGGTTACCTAGTGATGGACGTTAGTCCCGCTTCAGAAGTGGCATTCCTTTACAGACAATAAAATGCCTGTTTATATCTCCAGAGAAGCTTTTGTATCGGCATTTACAAAGCCGTAGTGTAGCCTACCCTAACAGACAAACATGCCCGTAGCCGAGGCGCTTTCAAGGTGCTCTGGTCTCTTGGCACTCCCACCCCTACAGGAGGGCAGCTCCCGCTCAGCCCAGTCCAAGCTCTGTCCTGGCACTCCAATGGTGGAACAAGCTTCCCCCTAATGCTAGGACAGCAGAGTCCCTGCCCATCTTCAGAAAACGTCAAACCCTACCTCATCAAAGAGCATCTTAAATAATCCCATAGCCCCCCCCCCCCCCCCCCCCCCAATAATAATAATAATAATAAGTAGCTCTGGATAAGAGTGTCTGCTAAATGACTAAAATATTATTATTTTTTTTTATAATTACTGCGTCCAAAATACCACAGTTGACTGCAGTTACTGCACTTTTACTGCAGTTTCAAAATGGCAATATTTGTTGTAAGGTGAGGTTTAAAGGTGATTAGAAAACAGCTCCTCTAAGATCAGTAGAGATATAGGATTAACAAAAGATCAATGTGAGGTGGTGGTTGAATCAATGGTACCATCCTGTTAAAGGGATTGGTGGGAAAAAGAAACATCAAGACTATTTACTGATGGGAAAATTCACATAAAAATATATTTTCTGAAATCCTTCTAGAAGCTTGAATACATGTGTTTAATGAATTAGCTAAGCACTTATTGTGTGCTGACGTCTGCAATACCATATTGTGCAGTTGAGCCTTTCAGTCATGACTGTGGCTCTGCCTTGCTTGAGAGGCAGCTGTTCAGTCATCTCTATGAGAGCCTATCCACTCCAATGCTCCTTCCGTTTACTTAACGGAATCGTTTCAGTAACACCTCAAAAACATGAGCCATCTCACAAATCACATCAAAGATAGTTCGAAGGGATCTTAAATATTAACTAATCTACATAATTAATTGATATCATGACCATGTCATAGCCTAATGCTTCTATTTGAACTTAACAATGAGTCATTATTTTGTATCATGACAGGTGATCTGATGAGGATGTGTGACAGACAGGTGTCTGGCTGAAGCAGGAAGACAATGGTCCACAGAGCCAGGCCTGAGGGCAGAGCTCCCTCACAATACCTACCACACACTCCTCACAATACCTACCACTGTTCTGGAGGGAGGGAGTAACCAGGGGGCTTTCTAAACACACACCCACAGCACCTAGAAAACAGGCCTCTTTAGAGAGGCACAATCTAAGTGATATGTTCCCCCACCAACTCTTTGTCCAGGACAAAGGATTCAGAGGTTGGCTTTGCATTTGGTGTGAAAGACAGCAGTATGTCATGTTGGGTACAATGTGATGGCACACTGGATCCAGTTACACACCATCCAAGCAAGTTATTCACAGGACCTTTTTTTTTCCTTTTTAAAAGGAACAGAATGCTTTCTGTGACATTCAAGTAGCTCTAGCAACACATAACATGATAAATATGACAGACTTACAAAAATGCACATCCATTCTCTATGCATCTTTCAATGTTTAATGCCTTCCATCTTTAGAACTCTTTCAAAAAACATTTGATCTTCCAGGAAATCTGAACCGCAACTTCACTCCTTTAAACTAGTTCAGTCTCTTTACAGCTCTGTACACTTCGTTCTAACAGCCTGGCAGAGACAGGGTTACTTCAGCTGGCACTCTGTGTATTTCAACAGGGGTCTCTGGCCACCAGAGGAGATTCATCATCAACACCCTCCTCATTTACTGCTGGCTCCAGGAGGTCAACTCTCATACTCAGAAGCCTGAGTCCATCACAGCCTAGTGATCCCTCTTTTGGCCCAGTCCAGTCCCACAGCCCCACTCTCAGAGGCCCAGCTGAGGGTGCAGGAGCTGTCTGGGAAGGGATGAGTATCCCCTTGGAGAGGTCACTGGTGTTTTTGTGCTGCTGTGTCAAGGGTGACCAATAAATAAATCCAATATGTCCAACCCGAGGGGCCCTGGACATTGCGTATATCAATAAAACAGGACATTTGACAACTAATAAGTAAGTAAAGAGAGTGATTGCAATCCCAGCCGTTCTCTCTGCACATCGATCCAGCCCTGTTGATAATCATTGTATCTTCTATTTAATTCGCAAGTCCTTCAAAAAACGAGAGGAAATGACTAAATATGAAGCCTTGGGGCATCTGCCGCCCGCTTCCACTGAAGAACTATGTAGTGACCTCTGTACAGTTCAGCCAACCATCTTAATTTTAATTAAAAATCTTTCATTCCAGCAAGAGTTATGGAACCAGCAGCTGAAAAATAGTTGGCAGTTGCATGAATGAAATATTGCACACCAAAATGAGCAGGACATAAATAAAGAAAGGCCAGCATAGTCTATCTAAACAAAATCCCAGGACATTTCTCTAACGGCTGCTTGATTTCCCTCAAAAGCTGAATGAAAACGTGGAACAAAATCAGGGCTAAATAGCCCATAATTGAAACAGTGTAGTAAATGCTACGAGCATGTCCAGTACAGTTGTCTTGTCTCATCCCATTACAACAAATAGCTATTATTACACAGGGAACACCATGATGATGATCCATAGTACATATTTTGCAATCGTTTGGACCCGTTAGCGAAGCCATTCCATACCCCGCCAGCCACTACTATTGTAAAGCATAGCCTACATTGCATGGTTTAAAGGCAGTCTGAAGAGGTAGTGTGATACTGGCTGTGGCCACAGTACTGTATTGGAAAGTTGCATGCCTTCATTGCCAATGCCTTGTTTATCATACTGTCAAAAAGAGAAATGGGCATCAGTTGGAAAGCAAATGATTTAGAGTGGAAGGTGGTGGGATTAATGATCAGTCAGTGAGAACAGGTTTGAATGAAGGAGCTGCTGGGGCCACAGGTTTTGCATATAGCACCAACAGTTGTCAGCCTCACAAAGAGCAGCATGCTGAAAAGGAAATGTCATATTGCAGAGCAGGATGAGAAGCCCCCTTCCTTTAACAAGCAGCCTTCCCATGAAAAAAGTGCTCTGTAACAGAATGGCCTGTAGACAAGGGGGTGATGTCACTGAACCCTAACTGTTTACATTTCAGGGCCCATTTATAATCTCACAAAGCCAGCGAGAGAGCCTAACATTATATGATGGGATTCAAACAATAATACTGAGCTTGTCATAAACAACAATAACCTTAATTTAATATCACAGACAATGTCTGAGAGGTATTCTTTTGTTGGGATGGTGGATCTATATATCTGAGGTAAGACCTTTAAAAAAGGATAAATGAAGCCATTTTTATCTCAATATTAAATAATTTCTGGGTAACAATGAAGTACCTTACTGTGAATGTTTTCAATCAAAATTGTCAAAAATAGCTTCTTAGCAAAAAGCTATTTCTCAAACAAAAATGTTGCTTGGACTGTCTGGGTGGGGAGGGGAAAACTGAAAACTAGCAGTTATTGGCAGATAGGTTTGGAACTCTTTCTTATTGGTCTATTAACCAATTCACCACCTGGTGATGTCACCAGGCAGGCAAAAACACCATCCCACCAAAACAGGCAGAAATTTCAGGCAGTCTTTTCAAACAGCTCTTACACTAAAAAGGGCATTATCCGAATTTCCACAATTTCACAGTATTATTTCAACCTCAGCGTGGAAATATACACTGCTCAAAAAAATAAAGGGAACACTTAAACAACACAATGTAACTCCAAGTCAATCACACTTCTGTGAAATCAAACTGTCCACTTAGGAAGCAACACTGATTGACAATAAATGTCACATGCTGTTGTGCAAATGGAATAGACAACAGGTGGAATTATAGGCAATTAGCAAGACACCCCCAATAAAGGACTGGTTTTGCATGTGGTGACCATAGACCACTTCTCAATTCCTATGCTTCCTGGCTAATGTTTTGGTCACTTTTGAATGCTGGTGGTGCTTTCACTCTAGTGGTAGCATGAGACGGAGTCTACAACCCACACAAGTGGCTCAGGTAGTGCAGCTCATCCAGGATGGCACATCAATGCGAGCTGTGGCAAGAAGGTTTGCTGTGTCTGTCCGCGTAGTGTCCAGAGCATGGAGGCGCTACCAGGAGACAGGCCAGTACATCAGGAGACGTGGAGGAGGCCGTAGGAGGGCAACAACCCAGCAGCAGGACTGCTACCTCTGCCTTTGTGCAAGGAGGAGGAGCACTGCCAGAGCCCTGCAAAATGACCTCCAGCAGGCCACAAATGTGCATGTGTCTGCTCAAACGGTCAGAAACAGACTCCATGAGGGTGGTATGAGGGCCCGACGTCCACAGGTGGGGGTTGTGCTTACAGCCCAACACTGTGCAGGACGTTTGGCATTTGCCAGAGAACACCAAGATTGGCAAATTCGCCACTGGCGCCCTGTGCTCTTCACTGATGAAAGCAGGTTCACACTGAGCACGTGTGACAGACGTGACGGAGTCTGGAGACGCCGTGGAGAACGTTCTGCTGCCTGCAACATCCTCCAGCATGGCCGGTTTGGCGGTGGGTCAGTCATGGTGTAGGGTGGCATTTCTTTGGGGGGCCGCACAGCCCTCCATGTGCTCGCCAGAGGTAGCCTGACTGCCATTAGGTACCGAGATGAGATCCTCAGACCCCTTGTGAGACCATATGCTGGTGCGGTTGGCCCTGGGTTCCTCCTAATGCAAGACAATGCTAGACCTCATGTGGCTGGAGTGTGTCAGCAGTTCCTGCAAGAGGAAGGCATTGATGCTATGGACATGATGTCCCAGATGTGCTCAATTGGATTCAGGTCTGGGGAACGGGCGGCCGTTCCCCAGACCTGAATCCAATTGAGCACATCTGGGACATCATGTCTCGCTCCATCCACCAACGCCACGTTGCACCACAGACTGTCCAGGAGTTGGCGGATGCTTTAGTCCAGGTCTGGGAGGAGATCCCTCAGGAGACCATCCGCCACCTCATCAGGAGCATGCCCAGGCGTTGTAGGGAGGTCATACAGGCACGTGGAGGCCACAAACACTACTGAGCCTCATTTTGACTCGTTTTAAGGACATTACATCAAAGTTGGTTCAGCCTGTAGTATGGTTTTCCACTTTAATTTTGAGGGTGACTCCAAATCCAGACCTCCATGGGTTGATACATTTGATTTCCATTGATATTTTTTATGTGATTTTGTTGTCAGCACATTTACAACTATGTAAAGACAAAAGTATTTAATAAGATTATTTCATTCATTCAGATCTAGGATGTGTTATTTTAGTGTTCCCTTTATTTTTTTGAGCAGTGTATATAAAAACACTGGAAAATTCACATTTTTCACAAGTGCTTGGGGGTACACACCACTTCCTCGTCGGAGAGATCCCGTCCCTGGATGCTGCTGCTGTCTCTCACGGCCTGCTGGTGCCTCTTGCCCTTGGTGTGGCTGTACAGGTGCACCTCCGTGGTGATCTAAAAACACACAGGTCAGAGGTCACTGCTGAGGACAATGGAGACAGAGGGGGTCAACAGGGTCCCCACCCCCCATGGGAGGCCACTGCAACTATACATTACAACTGGTTTTCAATAAGATCACAGACTGTTTCCTCTCCTCCTCCACTCACAAACAGACTAAATAGTGATACCTAATATTTTAGTAGGTGTCAGGAACTTAAATGCAGTCTTCAGATAGAGATCCATATGTTGTGCATGTTAAACACAACAAGCCTTTAGTGGAATGAATTGACATGGTCAAGAAGAAAGGTGGCAGCGTAGTTTCTTCAATCAGCATGTGATATGTGTCAGACAGACACGAGAGCATTGTTAAACTGAAAATGACTTGATGGCTGTATTTCATGATATTCTCCTATCTGACAGCACAGCAGGACCATACTAAAGACTGCAGCATGAAATCGTGGCTGACAGATCCACTCAGGATGATCCATCACAACAAACACATTTACAGTGAACAAATGTAGCCTATATAACAACAACGTGATTGCCCTAGGATGGTCTATGCCTTTTTTAAATCAAGCAGAATATTTTGTGTTTCATCCCTCTACTCTGTGTCAACGATTACTCCTCACACCAACTGATTAACTAATGTCGCTTCTGTCATTCTAGCTCCTCACACAGAGTGACCATATACTGTGACATGTTTGGAAAACAACACTGAATAGTAGGGCTGGAAATTTGCCAGGGACCTCACAATACGATATTATCACGATACTTAGGTGCCAATATGATATGCGACTCTTAAGATTCTATATGCGATGTGATTTTATACTGCGATTTGATGTTCCAAACATATTGCTCACTATATGGTTGCTGCAGAGGTACAAGAGAGCGCATGAGAAAAGTCATGGAAATAAGTGCTGAAAACATGTTGGCTCACTATTTAAAAAGAAAATGCAGAAGGGCAATTCCAAGGTTAACGGAAATATGCAGATTCTTCACTTCAAAATGTATACTAAAACAAAAACCATTGATTTCAAAGTTTAACAAACCATACAACTCTATGCACAATGACTATTTTTACAAAAACACATTTACAGGAAGAACTCTGCAGATACAAACTTTGGTAACAGAATAAAACTGAGGGAGATTTTACCATAACTCGTACCAAACTTAGCATCTGCACAATTTTCCAGTAAATGTTTAATTTTATTTACTGCGCAAATTGTTCAAGGTAGTCATGTGCATAGAGTTGTATGGTTTGTTGAACTTTGAAGTCAATGTTTTTTGTTTGGCATACATTTTAAAGTGAAAAATCGTAGTCTCAGAGTAATTTTGTTACCGTAGAATTGCCCAGAACAAGCTATAGGATGAAAAATACCAGAGTTTTGGCCCAGGTACAGCCGACAAGCACCAGCTAAAGCTATCTAGCTAAAATCGATACTTGGAGTCAAAGTATCAATATAATATCGCGATACGTAACTGTGTCGATCTTTTCCTCCATCACTACTGAATAGCTGATACAGTACTACCACATTAAACTGTGGGCAAGACTGGACTATACACAGACAGAAGCATTGGAAAAAGTGGTGTGAAGATGAAGAATTCACACAAACAGCGTGAGGTGTGGTTGATGTGGCTGTGTTGTTTTCCTCCCCTCTCATGACTGGAACAAAGCCTATTACAGATGGCCTCTGTTTAATGTCATTAAATAGAGTGCTGGCTGCTGACCTATAGATGATCTCTGGTGTCAGATGCTAGCCAAGGTCATCTGACATTTTTAACAAGATTCCCCCCTCTACCACCCACACACTGCTCTTTATCTGATGCTAGTTGGCGCTCCAAGGTGTCTCAACCTTGTTGCAGTGAGAGCCGGCCGGGTCCGTCACAGATAAATGTGCCTGCCAATGGATTTGTTGCCTGTCACTTGAAAATCATGCCCAGTCATAAATCTCCACCCCAGAGTTCATGTTTAATCAATGCAGTTAAATTCTCATTTAAATACATTCTATCCCAAAATCCTCTGAATCACCTTCTCGTCAGCATTTTTATGCATACAGTCTGCCAAACAACAATGGAGGGGGCATCAGCAGCTGCTCTACTGCCACAAAGCTGCTGCTGCTTTCCCCTTCAGTTCCAGTTTAGGTTAAGCATGTAAGCCAATCAGCCTCACAAATTATTGCAAGGCATTAAGTTAATTAAGAAAAGGGTGAACTTCTCACTGGAGAGTGGATCAAGCCAATTAGAATGTATATGCTAAAATGGTTCTCTACTTAGTATGTCAGCATCTGTCTAATGTTACCAGACGTCTGGTGTCTAGTGGCATGTCTAGTGTCAGAGGGAATATGTGCCAAGGACAACTGGGCAAATTATAAAATCAGCATCTACACTAAGAACAATAGAAAGACATCTAGTTAAAAAACAGATCACCCAAAACCATTTCAGACTTGGACTGTGTGTACATACCACAACATTGCACAAGGAGCACTGTTTCTTGCGCTCATACGGTGTCAGTTTAGGGGCATAGTCAGTGTTGGCATGTCTGCCACTGCTGAGTTCCGCTGCTTTCTCCTTCCTCTGCTCAATCTGCTCCATGTGCCTGCGACTGCTTTCATCGTGCTGGGAAGGAGAACAACCAAGAGGTCATGAGATTAAGAGGAACTTTCATCTGGTCTGCAAGTAGGAAATGTAAACTTTAGTATGTTCTTTAACGGAGGGCAAGAGTGAGGTGCAGCAGCCTCACAAACCTTCATCTGGATCTTCTTCTGCAGTTCCTCCATGGCCTCTTGTTGAGCAGCACTGAGGGCAGCCAGACGCTCCTCTCGGTCTCTGTGGAGAGGACAACAAAAACAGTGAGTACATTTACATGCACACTAATAATTCAATATTAAGCTGATTATGGCAATAGGCCGAGTATGGCGTTAGTCATGTATACACCTTACTCTGCTTATGTTAATTGTAACGTCAAAATCGAAGTAAGCATACGCCGATTAAAACACCTGGTTTTCTGAGCAATCTTTCAAATGATTATGACATGTAAACAGTTTAAAATCGGCGTTCCAGCAGTGTATTTGATCTGTGCATGTGCCAGCACTGTAGCGCAAGCCTCCCTCTTATGCTCGAGTGAAGTTAGTTTACGAAAAACAGAAAGTATGCATCTTAGAAATAATTCACATACAAACGTATATGTCCGAACTCAGAATCAAAGAGTGTTCGCAAAAATAAAATGGTCACTGTGGTAGAAAGTTTATTTTGGATTGGCGATTTTCAGCATTTATCAAAAGTCCCATCAGGTAGCCCGATATTGCACATGAAGCACATTGGAACCATTTGACAGTCCAAAAAAGATGGGTGATTCCGACTGTGAGCCAGGTGGTACAGACCTGGCCCTCTCTCGTGCAGCGTCCTCCCTGGCCCTCTCCTTCTCCTGCTTCTGCTGCTCGATGCGCGCCTCCTGCTCCTTCCTCCTCATCAGCAGCTCCTCCACCCGCGCCTGCCTCTCTGCCTCCAGAGCACGCTTACGTTCCTGTGGAGACAGACAGGGACCACAGCCAGTCAGTGGGACTGTACACTGGGGTAAGGCAGAGAGGTCTGGGGGAAAGAAAGAGGGAGCTGCTGTCCATTGTTACCTGTACAGCCTCGTCTCTGGCCTGCTTCTCCTCCTGTCTCCTGCCTCTCTCCTCCTGTAGCTCGTTGAGGCGCTGCTCATACTCGTTCAGCTTGGCCAGAACGTCGTGCCTCTTGTTCTGGGCCTCCAGAGTGTTGATGAATGCTATCTCATTCACCTGTACAGAGTCAGACACAAGGCCACTGGTCAACAAGCCTGACTCACTGAGCTACAAAAAAATATCAAAGTGATTAATATAAGAACTGTTTTAAGTCTGCCTCTACTCTAGTTAGCCATTGCATTTTTTAGTGGTCCTGTCTTTGCTTTTAAGAACATTCTCAGTGTCAAAAAATTCTTATCACAAGGGACATCTAATTAGGAAATTCTTCAACTCTTGGACATGTAGCTAGGTGTGCAGTGTTCCAGGGGTCAGTCCTGTACCTTGGCCTCCTCCTCCTGAGCCTTCTTCACTATGGCCTGGAGCTGCAGCTCCCGCTTAAACTCTGCATGGAGTAACTTCTCCTCCATCATCCTCCGCCGCTGGTCCAACAACTCCTCCTTCCATTTCCTGACCTCCTTCTCCTGTGAGGGGGAAAAAAGAGAGGGAGGGACAGACCGCTTGGGTCAGCTCATTTCACTCATGTACATTTCTCTAACCAAGGTAGACATTTTTATGGTGTCTTGCATTCAAAGCATTTGCTGCCACCCGCTCTGTCCCATGCCCACAGGGATTAACGTGAATATACACCACTTCATGTATTTATGTGGTTAATACTCAGGATTATTCAAGGGCTCACTCATCCCACGAGGGCCTGGAGAACAAAAACAAACGGCATGAAAGACTGAGTTTGGGCTACGTCTCTCCCAGACACGTCTGTGGCCAGCTGGGCTGAGAGAGACAGAGCTGGCCTCTGATATTTAGTGATTCTATCTGGCAGTGTGCTGACAGAAGCTCTCCCCGTGGCCAGACTGAGGCTGTGGTGTTTCCTGTTGGCTCTGCACTGCATGGCCACTCACCCTCTCCAGGAGCTTCTGCAGCTTGTGGGTCTTCTCATCCCGCAGTTTGTCTCTGAGCTGCTGGGCCTTCAGCTGTTTCTCCTCATGTTTCTTCTTAGACTCTGCAATGGTTCTGCCAACAGACAGAAAAAACAACTTTCCTCTCCCCCAATCGTCCTACGCACAGTAGCAGTGAACTTTGACATGCACCAAGATCTTTTCTCTGACAAACTTCCGTGTGACATGAGGGTGTGTGGGTCTCACCTTTTACGAGATGGTGAGGACAGTTTCTCGTGCATGTGGATTCCATGACCAGGGGGTCTAGAAGGCTCCTCCTCCACGATGTCCCCCCAGGAGGTGCTCTGACGCCAGGGCTCCCTCGCTGCAGAGAGAGGTGAGTCTAGACATTGACCACATCTGTGTCTTTAGCAAGAGCATCAACAACACATTTAATTATATAAACACTGAACAAAAATATTAAAAAAACTCAACATGCAACAACTTCAAAGATTTTACTGAGTTACAGTTCATAAGGAAATCAGTCAATTGAAATAAATTCATTAGGCCCTAATCTATGGATTTCACATGACTGGGACTACAGATGTGCACCTGTTGGTCACAGATACAGTTGAAGTCGGAAATGTACAAACACCTTAGCCAAACACATTTAAAAACTCAGTTTTCACAATTCCTGACATTTAATCCTAGTAAAAATTCCCTGTTTTAGGTTAGTTAAAATAAAGTGGTGATCCTAAGAATGTGAAATGACAGAATAATAGTAGAGAGAATTATTTCTCTCAGCTTTTATTTCTTTCATCACATTCCCAGTGGGTCAGAAGTTCACATACACTCAATTAGTATTCGGTAGCATTGCCTTTAAATTGTTTAACTTGGGTCAAACATTTCGGGTAGTCTTCCACAAGCTTCCCACAATAAGTTGGGTGAATTTTGGCCCATTCCTCCTGACAGAAATGGTGTAACTGAGTCAGGTTTGTAGGCCTCCTTGCTCGCACACGCTTTTTCAGTTCTGCCCACACATTTTCTATAGGATTTAGGGCTTTGTGATGGCCACTCCAATACCTTGACTTTGTTGTCCTTAAGCCATTTTGCCACAACTTTGGAAGTATGCTTGGGGTCATTGTCCATTTGGAAGACCCATTTGCGACCAAGCTTTAACTTCCTGACTGATGTCTTGAGATGTTGTTTCAATATATCCACATCATTTTCCTTCCTCATGATGCCATCTATTTTGTGAAGTGCACCAGTCCCTCCTGCAGCAAAGCACCCCCACAGCATGATGCTGCCACCCCCGTGCTTCACGGTTGGGATGGTGTTCTGCGGCTTGCAAGCACACCATTTTTCCTCCAAACATAACGATGGTCATTATGGCCAAACAGTTCTATTATTGTTTCATCAGACATGAGGACATTTCTCCAAAAAGTACGATCTTTGTCCCCATGTGCAGTTGCAAACCGTAGTCTGGCTTTGTTAATGGCGGTTTTGGAGCAGTGGCTTCTTCCTTGCTGAGCGGCCTTTCAGGTTATGTCGATATAGGACTCGTTTTACTGTGGATATAGATACTTTTGTACCTATTTCCTCCAGCATCTTCACAAGGTCCTTTGCTGTTGTCCTGGGATTGATTATCACTTTTCGACCACCAAAGTACATTCATCTCTAGGAGACAGAGCACGTCTCCTTCCTGAGCGGTATGACGGCTGCGTGGTCCCATGGTGTTTATACTTGCGTACTATTGTTTGTACAGATGAAGGTGGTACCTTCAGGCGTTTGGAAATTGCTCCCAAGGATGAACCAGACTTGTGGAGGTCTACAATTTTTTATCTGAGGTCTTGGCTGATTTCTTTAAATTTTCCCATGATGTCAAGCAAAGAGGCACTGAGTTTGAAGGTAGGCCTTGAAATATATCCACAGGTACACCTCCAATTGACTCAAATTATGTAAATTAGCCTATCAGAAGCTTCTAAAGCCATGACATCATTTTCTGGAATTTTCCAAGCTGTTTAAAGGCACAGTCAACTTAGTGTATGTAAACGTCTGACCCACTGGAATTGTGATACAGTGAATTATAAGTGAAATAATCTGTCTGTAAACAATTGTTGGAAAAATTACTTGTGTCATGCACAAACTAGATGTCCTAACCGACTTGTCAAAACTATAGTTGGTTAACAAGAAATGTGTGGAGTGGTTGAAAAATTCATTTTAATGACTCCAACCTAAGTGTATGTAAACTTCCAACTTCAACTGTATAATTCACTGCATCACAATTCCAGTGGGTCAGACGTTTACATTAAGTTGAATGGGCCTTTAAACAGCTTGGAAAATTCCAGAAAATGATGTCATGGCTTTAGAAGCTTCTGATAGGCTAATTGACATAATTTGAGTCAATTGGAGGTGTACCTGTGGATATATTTCAAGGCCTACCTTCAAACTCAGTGCCTCTTTGCTTGACATCATGGGAAAATCAAAACAAATCAGCCAAGACCTCAGAAAATAAAATTGTAGACCTCCACAAGTCTGATTCATCCTTGGGAGAAATTTCCAAACACCTGAAGGTACCACGTTCATCTGTACAAACAATAGTACGCAAGTATAAACACCATGGGACCACGCAGCCGTCATACCGCTCAGGAAGGAGACGTGCTCTGTCTCCTAGAGATGAATGTACTTTGGTGCGAAAAGTGATAATCAATCCCAGAACAACAGCAAAGGACCTTGTGAAGATGCTGGAGGAAACAGGTACAAAAGTATCTATATCCACAGCAAAACGACTCCTATATCAACATAACCTGAAAGGCCGCTCAGCAAGAAAGAAGCCACTGCTCCAAAACCGCCATAACAAAGCCAGACTACAGTTTGCAACTGCACATGGGGTCAAAGATGGTACTTTTTGGAGAAATGTCCTCATGTCTGATGAAACAAAAATAGAACTGTTTGGCCATAATGACCATTGTTATGTTTGGAGGAAAAAGGGGGTGGCTTGCAAGCCGAAGAACACCATCCCAACCGTGAAGCACGGGGGTGGCAGCATCATGCTGTGGGGGTGCTTAGCTGCAGGAGGGACTGGTGCACTTCACAAAATAGATGGCATCATGAGGAAGGAAAATTATGTGGATATATTGAAGCAACATCTCAAGACATCAGTCAAGAAGTTAAAGCTTGGTCGCAAATGGGTCTTCCAAATGGACAATGACCCCAAGCATACTTCCAAAGTTGTGGCAAAATGGCTTAAGGACAACAAAGTCAAGGTATTAGAGTGGCCATCACAAAGCCCTGACCTCAATCCCATAGAAAATTTGTGGGCAGAACTGAAAAAACGTGTGCTAGCAAGGAGGCCTACAAACCTGACTCAGTTACATCAGCTCTGTCAGGAGGAATGGGCCAAAATTCACCCAACTTATTGTGGGAAGCTTGTGGAAGGCTACCCGAAACGTTTGACCCAAGTTAAACAATTTAAAGGCAATGCTACCAAATACTAATTGAGTGTATGTAAACTTCTGACCCACTGGGAATGTGATGAAAGAAATAAAAGCTGAAATAAATCACACTCTACTATTATTCTGACATTTCACATTCTTAAAATAAAGTGGTGATCCTAACTGACCTAAAACAGGGAATTTTTACTAGGATTAAATGTCAGGAATTGTGAAAAACTGAGTTTAAATGTATTTGGCTAAAGTGTATGTAAACTTCCGACTTAAACTGTAAGTGAAATAATTTGTCTGTAAACAATTGTTGGAAAAATTACTTGTGTCATGCACAAAGTAGATGTCCTAACCGACTTGCCAAAACTATAGTTTGTTAACAAGAGATTTGTGGAGTGGTTGAAAAACGAGTTTTAATGACTCCAACCTAAGTGTATGTAAACTTCAGACCTAAAAAAAAAGTTGGGGCGTGGATCACAAAACCAGTCAGTATCTGGTGTTACCATAATTTGCCTCATGCAGCGCGACACATCTCCTTCACATAGAGTTGATCAGGCTGTTGATTGTGGCCTGTGGAATGTTGCCCCACTCATTTTCAAGGGCTGTACGAAGTTGCTGTCGTAAACGTCGATCCAGAGCATCCCAAACATACTCAACGGGTGACATGCCTCAGGATCTCGTCACGGTATTTCTGTGCATTCAAATTGCCATCGATAAAATGCAATTGTGTTCATTGTCCGTAGCTTATGCCTGCCTATACCATAACCCCACCATCGGGCACTCTGTTCACAATGTTGACATTAGCAAACCGCTCGCCCACACAACGCCATACACGTGCGTGGTCTGTGGTTGTGAGGCCGGTTGGATGTACTGCCAAATTCTCAAAAACGATGGAGGTGGCTTATGGTAGAGAAATGAACATTCAATTCTCTGGCAACATTTCTGGTGGACATTCCTACAGTCAGCATGGCAATTGCACACTCCCTCAAAACATGAGACATCTGTGGCATTGTGTTGTGTGACAAAACTGCACATTGTAGAGTGGCCTTTTATTGTCCCCCAGCACAAGGTGCACCTGTGTAATGATCACGCTGTTTAATCAGCTTCTTGATATGCTACACGTGTCAAGTGGATGGATTATCTTGGCAAAGGAGAAATGCTCACAAAACAGAGAAAAATAAGCTTTTCGTGCATATGGAACATTTCTGGGATCTTTTATTTCAGCTCATGAAACATGGGACCAACACTTCACATGTTGCCTTTATATTTTTGTACAGTGTAGATTAATTACAAATAAACTGAAAAGAGATTTACCGTCGTAGTCGGCTAACATGTCACTCCAATCCATGTTGAGTACACCTCCACTGCCAATGCTGGCCTGGAAGAGAGAGATGATCAGTTCATGATCAGTGACAATCATAAGGATATTGCAAGGTGAGCAAACCTCAAGACCTGGGGAAAGAGATCCTACCACTTCACATTTTCTACCTAACTACTTTCATATGGCCAAAGAAAAGTGTGAGTGTGTGATGTGTCTTACAGAGAAGTCACTCTCGTTGTCAGTCTCCAGGTCATTGTTCTCAGCCTGGATCTCTCTGGTCAGCTGTTCCTCTTCAGCGATGGCGCTGGCAATAGCCTCCTCGTTGGCCTTCTCCAGGCGGTCAGCCAGTTCCTCCTTCTTAGCCAGGACCTCTGCCATGGACTGTGGCTGGACAGACAGCACACACACATACTCACATACAGCAACTTCCTCAGTCATTCAGGTTTGACAACATGCAAGAATGTTGTCTATTGGTTTTACCAAGATTTTGAAATATGTTTGGTGTGATCAACTTAAAACATTCCCTGAGTTTTATTTCAAGAATGTGTCTTCATTTCATATAGCTCTAAGAGTACCATTTTGAAAAGTTTGTGTCATAATGTCAAAACTGAAAAGATCAAACCAAAAAGCAAACTGCATCACATGACCAATCACAAGATCACAGTTGGGGAAGCATTCAGGAGTCATGCAGAACAAGTTCACTGTGAGGATGAAGAGATGGTGGAAGGAGGCACAACTATGTGACCATTTCACTGACTTAGTTCAAAACAAATGAAATACAGGTTGGAATAAATACTTACTAGATTAGTCTAAATAGCCTGATGATGGCGCCCAAAATGTCTCAATGTCTATTAGTCTTTACACTTCCGACATGAACTTGACAAATAGTCTTTCCTTAGTCCAAAATTACTATCAGGGAGGACAGACAGCTAGCAGCACTCCAGTCCAGAGAGGCCAGAGCTCCAGTCTAACTTAATAAGGGGAATGAGGGAGAGGTTTCTCTCACCACCGAGGCTGTTTGTCTCTAACTAGGGGCCTGCAGGGGAGTCAAAACAGCACTGGGCTTATCTGAGCCACCCAGAGAGGTGTCTGGCATGGTCCAGAACTAAGACCAGTTCTTCCTGCGTTTGATCTAAGCTTAGATAACTTTCCCTGTATACCATTTAAAAGACATCCATCTCTAGGTATTGAGAAACCCTCAATAAGAGGTTAAAGTGCTGTGGAGGTATCTATGACAGACAGTAGCCCTGCTAGTGAAGGAGGGTATCCCTGACTAACTGCAGAGAGACTACAGAGGCAGTAATAAACCTGACACAGGACGGCTGCTGATCACTAATGCACAGTGGAGACCAGCTACAGAATACAAACTGACACAGTCATTGTACACATGCCATGACCCCTGGCCATTTGGGCTGAATCTGTCTCTGAACTGGACACCCTGTCACAGGTTTCCTCACCATTTCAGCTCAAATCACAGTCAAGTTTTGATTATTGCCCACTTCCTCAACACAGCATAACAACTGGGCTGGCCACTTCCAGCAACAAACACGACAGACACTGCTTTCAGAGCTCGCACAACCGGATATATATGGTCATCCTCTCACAGCCCACCACCAATAACACCATGTAAACTGTCCTGCCTGGCACGGGGCTGTTTTGAGGGGGCTGTGCAGCAAGTCATCTCACATTGTGGCTGGAGGTTCTGTAGATTGACTTTGTTTAGGCGGTGAAGGCCCCTAGGGGATCCCTGACCCCCCCCCCACCACTGAGCCCTCCCCTCCCTCTGCTACCTCCATCGCTCAGCACTCACAGTGGAAAGCTCTGTGGGGTCCAGCACACTCTCCAGTTTCACCGCTGCCATGGGAGTCTCAGCCTGTCCTGGAGCAGATGTTGCCGTGCCCTGTGACGCGCCCCCGGCAGCCCCCTTGTCCCCCAGAGCACTAGGCCCATCCATCTGGGCCGTGTCTAGGGACGGAGGGAGGGCTAGGGAAGGGACTGGGGCTGGTAGGGATAGGGCTGCGGAGGGGGTAGGGTCTGGGGCTTGGGTAAGGGAAGGGATTGGGGCTGGTATGGGCGGAGGCGCGTCCTCACAGGGTGCGTCGACACACTGCCCCGAGTCTTGCACACTGTCTGCTGGGGGCTGCACCGACACAATCACACACACAATATTAAAGACATGCATATTCCAAGCATTTCATGAGAGCAGTAACACAAATCAAAACGATTAACACACACAGCTGAAAACACACATCATGCAGGGAGGTTGGCACTAACATGCCCTAAACACCCAAACCTCATCAGGTGATATAATCAACTATATGGAACAAAAATCTAAACGCAAATGGTGAAATGTTGGTCCCATGTTTCATGAAATGACATTTAAAAAAAAACTCGTTCTGATTGGCTGGGCCTGGCTCCCAAGTGGGTGGGACTATGCCCTCCCAGGCCAACACATGGCTGCGCCCCTGCCCAGTCATGGGAAATCCACAGATTAGGCCCTAATTAATTTATTTCAATTGACTGATGCCCTTATATTAACTGTAACTCAGTAACATCATTGAAATTGTTTAATGTTGCGTTTATATTTTTGTTCAGTATAAATGTGGAAATACATGAAATCTGTCTAAATCAAGCAATGCCTAGAATTCACCCCTAACCAGTGTGTTCTGAGGCATTGAGATAGTATTTATTTAATGAGAGTGAAAATGGCATCTTTCTGCCTCTGAAATGTCAGTGAACGATCAATCGTGTTAAAACTGATATGCCCCGTCTGGACAGGCTGTCTATGAATACTGTGGAGCACAAAACCAAAACAATGTGGCTGATAAAACGGTTTTGAGTTACTCTGCTCCACGTCTCCTGTCTTCCTGAATAAATGATATCTGGGGACTCCTGGGAGGGTGAGTGACGTCACGCTCAGTACCTGCATGTTACCCTTCTCTGAGTCTCCTGCTGTCTCCTCAAGGGGGACGGGCTCCTCAGGGATTGGCTGTTCACAGTGACCCTTGTCTTTATCCAGGGGACAGGACCTGCCAAGGAGCTGCTGGTTCTCCTTGTTCGTGTCGTCTTTAGGGCTGATGTGGGCCAGGACTGGACTGACCTTGGCTACGATGGCGGCAGAGCGAGGCCTAGCAGGACGTCCACGCTGGACTGTCTCCCAGCCCTCAGAGTCCTTCTTACCTGGACACAGAAGGACACACACAAATAAGAAGAGAACAAAACACAAATGTTGATGCCCCATAGACGTTAAATCAGAAGGGGACACACACTCAGAGGGATATGCACTAACGACAAAAGGACATCAGTGGTGCACTACATGATGAGGATCATGTAGTTCATTCTATAGATGTGGTGGAGGGAGCTCTACTTACCTGGTTTCTCTACAGGACAGGTGTTGGCCTGGCTGGGGACAGGGAGGGACTGGGAGGACTTGACCCGGTCAGCCCAGCTGGGGCCCGTGTGAGACAGACGAGCTACCGCCAGTGTGGGTGGAGGACCACTGGAGAGATAAACACATAAATCAGAACCAGAAGAGAGCAATGCCAACACACACAAAAGCATTTCAACCAGAGACGATCACTGTACAGAAATACTACAATGGCTGTGAGGACATCACTAAATACTCAAACCAAAAAAGAGATGACCCTAAGGTGAGCAGCTCCATCTGCCTCTTCCAGCCTGGGCTTTTCAACACAACACTCCCAGGTCCTACAGGGCTGGCTCAGGCAACAGACCTCCTTCATGATCAATACCCATTTCCTGCAGCATTCTATTACAGGGAACTGCACATATTGAACTGATGATTCAGCAGTCTTTAACCACACTTTTATCTACACCTCCCACTGTTTCTGTGGCGAGGTCAGTGAGACTCGACAAATTACATTAAACAAATGCCTCACCATCAGCAGATCACAAAGCAGCCTCTACCAACCTAGACCAGTCGACACATCATATCTTACATTGATTTGTTAGAGGTTTTAGCATTTGTGTTCCCTTTACGCGAACTGTAAACATCTAATGATGGCTGACCGTATTACACGTAATGTCAGCCATGCTGCAGCTGAACAATACTGAGAGGCAACAGATTGTGCTGCTTCCCAGAATGTGCTGATGGGGAGTAAAACAACAAGAGATTTTGATGATTGCTGTGTGTTCATAATGACTGTCAGTCATTAAATTAACATGATGGTAAGCACTTTGAGCTCAGATCAGAAACAGTGGAGATTAGGGCTATCAACTGAACCAGAAATGAGATGGAGAAATCTTACCCAAAGTTGAGGGCGCGGCGAGCACTAGGAGATGGGACCATTCTGTCAGATGAGGGGCTAGGCATCACATGACGACCTGGGGACATTTTACGCACTTCCCAAGCCAAAGACGTGGGTCTGGATTCAGAGAGGACAAAGAAAGTTTTTCATAAACTTGAAATATACTGTAGTATCATAGTTCAGGGGGAGATTTTTGTCTCACTTTACCTAAAAACAACTCAATTTATGGAACACAGAAACATACAAAGGTTGACTGATTGATTAACAGTCAATGTTAAAATGTACAAATTGGAAGGCAACATAAGAGCTTGGATTTTTATACCTCAGTCAATTTACAGGTGTTGTGGTCATTGTGTTAAAGAGAAGCCATTGATCCAGTGTGTTTGTGACTCAATGCCATGGAGCAGAGATGTCACTTAGAGGTTCCCCTCAGGGAGTGATGGGGGTGAGAGAGTGAGACAGAGCGAGAGACCAAATGACAGCGAGAGAGAGCGAAAGCAGTGTTTTCCACAAGTACATAGAGTAGCCAGCCAAATAGAAAAACTAGTCAGACAGGCGCCCCTAGGCCGAAGGATTTTTTTGCAGAAGGAGCTCTATTTTGGTGGCCTCTGGTACATTCTAATGCCTTGTTTTGGATATTGTCTTGGTCTAGGCCTATATGATCAGGCCTATTTTCTAAGTTAGAAAACAAACCTTTAACATGTCTTCTCTTGAGATTAAAAGTCTTAGATAAGGTTTTACTGCAAGATAGGAATGGACACAATGTTTGTTCTTCATATTATGTATTTTATTCAAACAAAAACATTAGGTAAATAGCCCACATTATCTTGAAAAATAAATTAAAGGTTTTGTTTTTCCAGGTTTTAGTTTTTCCCAGTTGTTTTAGGGTTTCGCTCTCAAAATCACATTTTTAATAGGAAAACAACCAAATGTGATGTTGGAAGTCCACAACGAGATGTTCTAAGTCCACAAATGTTTAAACCACATCCAGAGACAACTTTTGAGGTCTGGGAAAAATCTGCGAAATGTGGATTTGTGGGTGTAGTTACCCTTGAATTCAAGTGTGCACCTTGCAAGAGGTTGTTGTTAAGCTGTGTTTTTGTAGCGCACTTGATGGTAGAGTTTGCAAAACAAATGGATTGATGAAAATAATTATGATATTCTGCCAGGTTTGGGAAAGCCTTTCCATCTACGACTGTTTTCATTAGCATCATCGCTAACGGCTACATAAAGTGGTAGACGCGCGCACCGCACACACACAAACAGGGACATTCTCATTGCCTCTTCAGAAAAGATTTATATTGTTCAATTCCGTTGCCTGGATTCCGTTTGGGCCCCAATTATCAATGCCACGCTCGACAAACTGAGCTTTCATTTTCCAGAATCAATGTTCATTGATACTCTCATTTTAGTAGTGTCTGCTCTATGCGCAATTTGAGTAGTTGAGACATAAAAAGGGTATCGTTAGAAAAGTTAACTTCTCCTCTATTACAGTAAAATAATGTCTCAATGTGTTTTGGTGTCCATGTGATCTCTCAACTTTGTTGGCGTGGGGAGGGGCTTGGTGTGTATAAACCAGAGAGGAAGAGGCGAAGCGAGAGGTTTCACTCTCAATACAAACGATCCAACATAAGCCCAATGTGTTTCTATGGGTTTATTTTGTACCTAAGCTTGTCGCTTGCCTTCCCGTCTTTGGGACAACGACTCCCATTGTTAGGGCGGAGACGTGCATCTCTTCATTATATACAGATCGCTGGTGTAAATGGGGAGGTGCACACAGCACAGAAGGAGCGAAAGAGATGAGACCAACAATACAACACGTGAACAAGCGGACATAAACGCTCATAAAAAAAATCTAAAATAATATCTAGATTCTTGCGATACAGGCATTTGGAATATCTTGCAAAGACATACATTTTAATGAATCAAATTAATTCGATATCACCCAGCCCTACGACAGCCGGCGCTAATGGAAAACGAGAGAGAGCGAGAGAGAGGAAGCGAGCGAGCGAGAGAGAGAGAGAGAGAGAGAGAGACAAGGCATAGATCAATCACCTGTTCTGGGCATCTGTTTTCTCCAACTTCTCCTGCAGCTGGATCCAGTCAATGAGAGCTTTAAAGTCCCGCACATAGTTGTCCAACATCATCAGCACCTCCTTAAATAAAGACAAACACCTTTCAGACAGACACAGGAGCATCTCAGTGTAGCCATCATCAATCACACAAACATCCATAAGGGGCACAGGGGTACTTGCCCCCTCAGATTTTTCATTTTTTCTTCTTCTGTAATACTACTAGCCATTTGTCAATTTTATGAAGTTTGCTTTAGCTAGCCCAGACTGGTTCCCGATCTCCCAACCTTATAACTAGCCTAGCTACCAAGAAGCCATTTCAGGCTGTTAATCAAGTTAGAGTAGCTATCTTAACCATGTTAGCTGGAATTTAGAAAAGCAAGCAATTACTAAATGTACTGAATAAGACTCACATTCCTTTAAATCTTTTACCCAGAATTTAGCAGAGAAGCATACTTTGTTTTGTTTTTAAAAAGAACCACCAGTCAGGAGGATAAAGACAGCTCAAGAGGTATGCTTAGGTATGCAGAAAAATATACATATATTTTACATGGAATTAAGCATAATGATTATGGCTCTAGATAGCAGGAAAAAGCGGTTTCAGGTGTTTGAAAAATTCAAAATGATCCAACTTACGGACTAGGGGCCGAGCCCCCCCTCTGGACCCCCCCCCCCCAAACATCCTCACCGTACCTTGTGCCCCCTCAGATTGTTTAGGCGCTTGACTACCCCTGCAATCATCCACATATAATATCAGTACAATGAGAAACTACTTTGTCTTAGAGATTATGATTTGAAATTCAGTTCAGACTGTTCTTGTAATAGGTTAACTTTGGAAACAGCCATAGTGAGGGACAAGTGGTACAGATCTCTGCCCCCTGTGTATTGTCTCTATTTGTGGAGAACCTCAGAGGCTCTATCCAGCTCCAATCTCACAGCACTCTGGGACTCCAGTAACCCAACCCCCCCAGGACCTCTATAACACATAGAGGAGCGGGCATCTGGGCCAGGCCCAGTCACAGTCAGTAGAGCATATCTCACCCACACAGGTAAGAGGCCCTTCTATTCAGCCCCATGACAATGGAGGACAAAAACATCTCAGTAAAAATACTTCTCCCTGCACCACTGATCCACCACAAGAGGTGGGGCTGAAATTACCAATGACATTACCAGAGGGGCCAAGACAAATTTAATTGGCTTGTAATCATTTCTTGCTACTGGCACAGGGAGAGTCTGGTGACGCCACCTATTGTCCATCTGATACCCAATCTCAGAGCCTAGGAGCTAGAACAACTCTAACCACTGTTCATTTCCCATCCTCTGTGAAAGTGGCTATCGAAATGCAAAATCTAGGAACTCAGTCAAACTGGTAGGCTACATAATGAGTCAAATTTTTTAATTATTATAGGTCATCTGACATTGTCAAATAAAACAAATCACAATGTATGTGCACTAGCCTAGCTGTTAGAGATGAGGTTCATGTTTGTTTCTCACTGAGAGGGGACATAGTGAGTTGTGAAGGCTAGAGCCGGTCCTCTCCTCAGCCCAGCGCTCTAGTGAAACCGACAGAGGGGACATACTGGCTTGTGAAGACTTTAGCCTGTCTGTCCCCTCCTCAGCAGTCAGCCCAGGCAGAGCTCTGGTGAAACAGGCGTTGGTGATTGACGGGGAGTGTGTGTGGGGGGGGGGGGGGGGGGGGGGGGGGGGAGTGGTAATTGGTGCTTTTAGTTAATAGAGAAGTCAGCCCAGTGAAAGATGTGTCCAGCAGCAGGCCTGCTGATTAGAGCTAGTTAACAGCCCCCAGCCAGGCCCTCTGCTGCTGCGCTGGTTTCATTTGATAATGAAGGCTGCAACAGCTGAGGACAGAGGGAGGCACTGCCTAGTGTGACACTGAGTGAAGGCACTGAAAATCATGTTCACGACACAAACCAACACACTTGCCGACAAATACTACTCACCTAAATAGAAGTACTTAAGATTTCCTGAGGACTGCATAAAAGTCTAAACCTGCTAGAGGCCATATGAAGCCTGATGAACAGTAAAAACATGGTCACTCCAGTAACAATGAAATGCTAAAACATTTACTTGAGTGAAAGCTAATCCAATTTCACTTTTAGTTTCTGACAATATATTATGTGCCAATCATGTCTGTTTTTGCCTTGAAGTTTCTCCAATGTCATAATTTATGCTGCAGTAGATCCCTTCTACTGTAGCTCTCCTTCCCTGCATGGTAGCATAGTATGATGTGGCATAAATCAGGGCCCAGACGGAACAAATGGTTTATAAGAAATAACTCATTAGAATTGGGGGCTGTGGGTTAAAGAGATGTGGGCGTTATTAATATACAAGCATAAATCAGATTGCTGCATGGGATGGCTCTCCTGGCTGGGGCTTGGGGGGAACCACACAGGAAGAAACAGTGTTGATGAAGTAAGGGCTGAACTGTATCTGTTTGTCTGTTAGTCTCATTCAAAAAAACAGAAGCACACAATCAAAATCTCCTCACAGTTCTAAATATCTAAAACTAGTCTATAGGCCTGAGTACAAAGTGATGTCGCGTCACCAGACCAGCGCAGTGGGCCTGTTTGTGTGAGAGCACAAAGTGCAGATTTACACCGCTCCAGGGGATTGTGGCCGGGTGGTATCAGAGCACTCTGCTTCCCCTCCAGCTAATTCAATCATTTATCAGAGAGTCAGTCAGTCCATTAGGGCCAGGCTGAGGCTGGCTGGCACTGACAGGGATAGTCCAGCCCAGAGCATTAGACTACACTGGGGTGAGAACACAACACAGCAGCCAGACTACATCTCACACAGCCCCACTGTCAGCATGAAGACCACAGGCAGGGGCAGCGTGTTCCAGCACTGACCACACGCGGTCACCACAACCATGCTCAGCATAATGCAGCATGGCAGACTCATCAATACAGCAGAGCAGAGTAGACCCAGATCAACATGGCAGGACAGCCCTGAAGCAGTATTACACTACTGGCCCTGCCTAGTAAACAAGGGTATTAGTGTGCTGCTGCAGTGACACACAACAACCTACCATGCCTGGTGTACAAGTACACCACTGATAACAGATAACAGTTGCAGAGGTTATTTCCAAAACGTTATAGCCACCAATATTTCACATTTGGGTTTTTTCATCAGAAAAGATTGCTTATGGGGCTACCTTCATGTGTTTGTAAAATATTACTGTTCTAAGATGTTTTATTCATAGATTTTAGATGTGTATGAAAATGTGTTATTTTGTTAAATGCTATATATCCATTGTTTAGCTGGAATGGAATGTTTGTATCCTGTATATTTGACTGTGATATGTGGTTGTCTCACCTAGCCATCTTAAAATTAATAAGTCACTCTAGATAAGAGAATCTGCTAAATGCCTAAAATGTCAAATGGAAATGTTTTACATATAGATCTGATTTTATTGTATTGAATTATATATATATATATATATATATATATATATATATATATATATATATATATATATATATATATATATATATATATAGATATAGATATAGATGTCACAAATGTATCATTTGTATATTTCTTGATTATAAAATGTAGTTTTGTTACATTTGACTGTAAAACCTAGCAATACTACTACTTTCTCAGAGTGAGGCAGATATATAGCATTTTGCTAAAAACAAACGTAATTGTCTCTCTGAAATGAAACCACCAAGTGATAGATTTTAAACAAACACATTGAACAACCCCATGTCGTGATTAGATAGTGAAAAAAACACACCAATCTCTTTCATAATTTCTTTAAATAATAAAAGCTAATTTACCATCATTTCTGAAAATGTATATATAGTGTTTTGGAATGAAACTCCTCAGTTGTAAGCAGCAATAATTTCATAACAAATCCCAATATCCTTATTGTGTGCTAGCAGTAGCCTATCCTTTCAGTTGTTGAGTTCACAGAACTTCACATTCATTGCTGCCCCAAACAGAGACTCCGGCACTGTTTCCCTTCCAGTCGGCCAGCCTGGCCTCCATGCCAAGCCCACTAGCACAACCCTCGAAAACCACACGGCACACATCCACACTGTTTACACCATGTCATCAATATCCACTCCCTCCAGCCAGACCCAGGAGAGTGCCCTGTGATAATTCTCTCACCAGCAAGCCTTCAAAGGCCCCTCTGACGATAACCAGAGAACAACAGGAATGTGAGAGAGGGAGAGCCTCCTTTAACAACTCAATATCTCCCTCTAGTGTTGATGAAGTGTGGTGCTCTGCAGTGCCTCAAACTACTAATACACTGCTCAAAAAAATAAAGGGAACACTTAAACAACACAATGTAACTCCAAGTCAACCACACTTCTGTGAACTCAAACTGTCCACTTAGGAAGCAACACTGATTGACAATACATTTCACATGCTGTTGTGCAAATGGAATAGACAACAGGTGGAAATTATAGGCAATTAGCAAGACACCACCAATAAAGGAGTGGTTCTGCAGGTGGTGACCACAGACCACTTCTCAGTTCCTATGCTTCCTGGCTGATGTTTTGGTCACTTTTGAATGCTGGCGGTGCTTTCACTCTAGTGGTAGCATGAGACGGAGTCTACAACCCACACAAGTGGCTCAGGTAGTGCAGCTCATCCAGGATGGCACATCAATGCGAGCTGTGGCAAGAAGGTTTGCTGTGTCTGTCAGCGTAGTGTCCAGAGCATGGAGGCGCTACCAGGAGACAGGCCAGTACATCAGGAGACGTGGAGGAGGCCGTAGGAGGGCAACAACCCACCAGGACCGCTACCTCCGCCTTTGTGCAAGGAGGAGCAGGAGGAGCACTGCCAGAGCCCTGCAAAATGACCTCCAGCAGGCCACAAATGTGCATGTGTCTGCTCAAACGGTCAGAAACAGACTCCATGAGGGTGGTATGAGGGCCTGACGTCCACAGGTGGGGGTTGTGCTTACAGCCCAACACCGTGCAGGACGTTTGGCATTTGCCAGAGAACACCAAGATTGGCAAATTCGCCACTGGCGCCCTGTGCTCTTCACAGATGAAAGCAGGTTCACACTGAGCACATGTGACAGACGTGACAGTCTGGAGACGCCGTGGAGAACGTTCTGCTGCCTGCAACATCCTCCAGCATGACCGGTTTGGCGGTGGGTCAGTCATGGTGTGGGGTGGCATTTCTTTGGGGGGCCGCACAGCCCTCCATGTGCTCGCCAGAGGAAGCCTGACTGCCATTAGGTACCGAGATGAGATCCTCAGACCCCTTGTGAGACATTTACGTCATTTAGCAGACGCTCTTATCCAGAGCGACTTACAAATTGGTGCATTCACCTTATAGCCAGTGGGATAACCACTTTACAAAACATTATTTATTTTTTGGGGGAGGGTGGGGTAAGGGGGGGTAGAAGGATTACTTTATCCTATCCCAGGTATTCTTTAAAGAGGTGGAGTTTCAAGTGTCTCCGGAAGGTGGTGAGTGACTCCGCTGTCCTGGCGTCGTGAGGGAGCTTGTTCCACCATTGGGGTGCCAGAGACCATATGCTGGTGCGGTTGGCCCTGGGTTCCTCCTAATGCAAGACAATGCTAGACCTCATGTGGCTGGAGTGTGTCAGCAGTTCCTGCAAGAGGAAGGCATTGATGCTATGGACTCGCCCGCCCGTTCCCCAGACCTGAATCCAATTGAGCACATCTGGGACATCATGTCTCGCTCCATCCACCAACGCCACGTTGCACCACAGACTGTCCAGGAGTTGGCGGATGCTTTAGTCCAGGTCTGGGAGGAGATCCCTCAGGAGACCATCCGCCACCTCATCAGGAGCACGCCCAGGCATTGTAGGTCATACAGGCACGTGGAGGCCACACACACTACTGAGACTCATTTTGACTTGTTTTAAGGACATTACATCAAAGTTGGATCAGCCTGTAGTGTGGTTTTCACTTTAATTTTGAGTGTGACTCCAAATCCAGACCTCCATGGGTTGATACATTTGATTTCCATTGATAATTTGTGTGTGATTTTGTTGTCAGCACATTCAACTATGTAAAGAAAAAAGTATTTAATAAGATTATTTCATTCATTCAGATCTAGGATGTGTTATTTTAGTGTTCCCTTTATTTTTTTGAGCAGTGTATTTATCTAGTCAGTGAGCTTGTTGAGAAGGACCCTGTTGAAGTAGCTAGACTTTAACATTTGACAGGAGGTGTTGGGTGACAGTCTGTTGGTTCCCTACCTTGCACTCCACCACACTCTGGTCAGATTCACAGGTGACATAGATCTCGTCCACGGCCCGCCGCAGGTTGTCGAAGAGGAAGGCCCAGTATCGTGCTCGCAGGTCCACCTTGCGTGGCTGCCTTGCTTTGGAGGGGCTCTTCTCTGCTCCCTTGTCCAGCAAGGCCCCGGCTGTACTCTTGCTGTCCAGGCCTGTATTCTGTGGAGACAGCAGGAGGGGAGACTTGAGACAAAGAATAGGATGTAACTAGGTCTACAACGCCCTCTAGCGGTACAGGTGAATAAATAGCAGTGAGCAAACCATTTCACACATCTTTAGTTTTTACTACGGTATTTCATAAATAGTGGCAAAATTACAATATGTGGGCTAATACTGGCCTCTATCCCCATTGGTTTAAGAGTTGACAATATGTTATGCACACCTGTTTCTTATTCCTGTGCAGACCAGAGTTGATCCGCTGATTCCTCAAATGGGTGTTGGTATGAGTCTTGGACTTACCTTTAAAAGAAACACACAAAAAAAACATTTAGTTCTGAAATACACACATGGCTTTTACATTGATCTGGTCACCCTTTGTTTTGCCAAAGATGAAATATGGCCTGAGGGAGGAACTAAACATCAAAGTGCAGAACCTAATACACACACACCTTATATAATACAGGCCTGTCACAAAGCCCTGCAAGAAAAAAGAGAAAGAGCGCTCTCTCTCCCGCTCTCTCTCACGCTGTTCTCTGCCCAACATTCTCAGAGTAGGCCAAAGGAGCTTACTTTGGCAGCATGCCCAAATACTGTGGAAAAACAACCCTGTTACAATGACCGCAAAGCTGTGAGCAAGAGCAGGTTATTGGTATCACAGATTAAACATATTTCTTGTTTATTTTAGAGCTACCCATTGCAGAACCTATCTAGCCAGTTATGAAATATTCTGCCTTTGTTCATTCAAAGGACTAACTGGGTTAATTGATGCGTGTTCCTAATCATAATCAATCATGTTGTTTAAAAGCTAGCAAACTGATTGTTTTCCGTCAACCAATTAATAACTTCCCCACTCTTCTGCCTAGTAAGTGGGTGTGAAGTTAATTAAATCTGAGTCATAATGATATGTTTAATCTGATGAGGGACTAATGAACTGACACATATTATCAGTGTTCATCTTGACACCCGTTTAACTTAATAGTTGGAATCCCTAATGCAAAGTTATATTTCTATATATTTGAGAGGGTATACAAGAGGGAAGGCAATCTCTAGTCTATCTAGTCGTCTCAGTGAGGGGTAGTATAGATGTAGGGCCAATGGACAGAATAACAGAGAGGTGAATCAAAGGATGTCATTTTGTTAAGGTAGATATTGTATTACAGCTAAGAGCAGTGTCTGGACTCGTGACCTTTCGTCACCCCAATGCCCTCTGATTCATGCACTATAAGTCAACATCAGCTCCTGCCACTGGAGGTGAAACATTGGAGTTTGCCCATCCAACCATTTCTATACCCACCAAGATAACAAAAAATGTATCTGGCGAAAAACACAATGGAATCTACTTTGAAGAAACACAAGCACCTGTGTACATAAAGACAGTCATTAATTTGACACAGTATTGTAAGCCCCATTTTAGCATGTGAGTGTGCCTCTGTGTGTGTGTGTGTGTGTGTGTGTGTATGTATTTTTACATCACTGACCTTCCTCCTCTTTGTTCTCCAGAGGAACACTCCAGGCAATGAGATTTCTAGCAGCACGGCCCTCCTCTGCAACAATCTTCCTCACCTTGTCATGGCTGTTTGAGCGCTGAAAGGATGCCTGCAGACAAAATGGGGATCACGTCAAATGATACCAAATCCTAACTACACATGAGCGAGTTTATAACACTGACAACAAGCTGTGGATAAAAGCTGGTGCTCTGTACAGTAGATGGAAATGTTTATGCAGCATGGTTGCCCCACATATAGGCTAGAGATTCTTCAAAGTAGCCACCCTTTGCCTTGACGACAGCTTTGCACACTCTTGGTATTCTCTCAACCAGCTTCATGAGGTAGTCACCTGGAATGCATTTCATTTAACAGGTGCCTTGTTAAAAGTGAATTTGTGGAATTTCTTTCCTTCTTAATGCGTTTGAGCCAATCAGTTGTGTTGTGACAAGGTAGGGGGGGTATACAGAAGATAGCCCTATTTGGTAAAAGACCAAGTCCATATTATGGCAAGAACAGCTCAAATAAGCAAAGAGAAACGACAGTCAATCATTACTTTAAGACATGAAGGTCAGTCAATACGGAACATTTCAAGAACTTTGAAAGTTTCTTCAAGTGCAGTCGCAAAAACCCTCAAGCGCTATGATGAAACTGGCTCTCATGAGGACCGTCACAGGAAAGGAAGACCCAGAGTTACCTCTGCTGCAGAGGATAAGTTCATTAGAGAGTTACCAGCCTCAGAAATTGCAGGCCAAATAAATGCTTCACAGAGTTCAAGTAACAGACACATCTCAACATCAACTGTTCAGAGGAGACTGTGTGAATCAGGACTTCATGGTCAAATTGCTGCAAAGAAACCACTACTAAAGGACACCAATAAGAAGAAGAGACTTGCTTGGGCCAAGAAACACGAGCAATGGACATTAGACCGGTTGAAATCTTTCCACTGGTCTGGAGTCCAAATTTGAGATTTTTGGTTCCAACCCCCGTGTCTTTGTGAGACACAGAGTAGGTGAACGGATGATCTCCGCATGTGTAGTTCCCACCGTAAAGCATGGAGGAGAAGGTGTTATGGTGCTGGTGACACTGTCTGTGATTTATTTAGAATTCAAGGCACACTTAACCAGCATGGCTACCACAGCATTCTGCAGCGATACGCCATCCCATCTGGTTTGGGCTTAGTGGGACTATCATTTGCTTTTCAAGAGGACAATGACCCAGCACACCTCCAGGCTGTATAAGGGCTATTTTACCAAGAAGGAGAGTGATGGAGTGCTGCATCAGATGACCTGGCCTCCACAATCCCCCGACCTCAACCCAATTGAGATGGTTTGGGATGAGTCGGACCGCAGAGTGAAGGAAAAGCAGCCAACAAGTGCTCAGCTTATGTGGGAACTCCTTCAAGACTGTTGGAAAAGCATTCCAGGTGAAGCTGGTTGAGAGAATGCCAAGCGTGTGCAAAGCTGTCATCAAGGCAAAGGGTGGCTATTTGAAGAATCTCAAATATAAAATATATTTTCATTTGTTTAACACTTTTGTTTACTACATGATTACATTTGTGTTATTTCATAGTTTTGATGTCTTCACTATTATTCTACAATGTAAAAAATAGTAAAAATTAAGAAAAACCCTTGAATGAGTAGGTGTGTCCAAACTTTTGACTGGTACTGTATATAAACTCAGCAAAAAAAGAAACGTCCCTTTTTCAGGACCCTGTCTTTCAAAGATAATTAGTAGAAATCCAAATAACTTCACAGATCTTCATTGTAAAGGGTTTAAACACTGTTTCCCATGCTTGTTCAATGAACCATAAACAATTAATGAACATGCACCTGTGGAACGATCGTTAAGACACTAACAGCTTACAGACGGTAGGCAATTAAGGTCACAGTTATGAAAACACTAAAGAGGCCTTTCTACTGATCTGAAAAACACCAAAAGAAAGATGCCCAGGGTCCCTGCTCATCTGCGTGAACGTGCCTTAGGCATGCTGCAAGGAGGCATGAGGACTGCAGATGTGGCCAGGGCAATAAATTGCAATGTCTGTACTGTGATACGCCTAAGACAGCGCTACAGGGAGACAGGACAGACAGCTGATCGTTCTCGCAGTGGCAGACCACGTGTAACACCACCAGCACAGGATCAGTACATCGGAACATCACACCTGCGGGACAGGTACAGGACGGCAACAACAACTGCCCGAGTTACACCAGGAACACACAATCCCTCCATCAGTGCTCAGACTGTCCGCAATAGGCTGAGCGAGGCTGGACTGAGGGCTTGTAGGCCTGTTGTAAGGCAGGTCCTCACCAGACATCACTGACAACAACGTCTTTCCTACTTTTCACTGGTAAAATGCAAGCAAAACATTAGGACATTTAGCTGGCTACATTCTTTCTATGATAAACATTAGAAATATGATGGCCATGCATCGTTTTTTGCAAAAAATACCTTTCTTTTTCATTCAAACTCATTTACTTGTGTGGCTGCCAGCCAAATAGCATTTCACTTCTGTTGTCATCTGATGAAAATGAAGGCATTTTCTGCCAAATGTGTTGCACTAAGTTATTTTTGTTGAATGACCCTGATCACTCTATTTAAGCAATAAAAACACGACCTTAAATATAAAATGCGACCCCTGTCAAAACACAGCTGGACTCACTTGGTAATAGCGCCGGAGGGGATGGCTGCCGTTTTACGGGCTCCTAACCAATTGTGCTATTTTGTGTGTTTTTCGCATTGTTTGTAACTTATTTTGTACATAATGTTTCTGCTACCGTCTCTTATGACGGAAAAGAGTTTCTGGATATCAGAACAGCAATTACTCACCTCGAACTGGACAAAGATTTTTCTTTCATGAATATGAAGCAAAGGATATAATGCTGCTCCCGGACCAGGCCCAAATACCCATCATTCGCATGAAGAGGAGACGGCGATTCAGGGGCCGCAGATCCGAGTGCCTTGTGAGAATTCGTCGGCGAATGGGTAACCCGCCTCTACCATCCGTCCTATTAGCCAACGTGCAATCACTGGAGAATAAACTGGATGAGCTCCGGTCAAGACTATTCTACCAACGGGATATTAAAAACTGTAATATCTTATGTTTCACTGAGTAGTGGCTGAATGATGACATGGATAATATTCAGTTTGGCAAGACAGAACAACTACCCCGGTAAGACGAGGGGTGGTGGTCTGTGTCCATTTGTCAATAACAGCTGGTGCGCGATCTCTAATATGAAAGTCTTGAGGTTTTGCTCGCCTGAGGTAGAGTACCTCATGATAAGCTGTAGACCACACTATTTACCAAGAGAGTTTATCTATATTTTTGTAGCTGTCTATTTACCCCCACAAACCGATGCTGGCACTAAGACCGCACTAAGGCCATAAGCAAACAAGAAAATACTCATCCAGAAGCGGCGCTCCTAGTGGCCAGGGACTCTACTGCAGGAAAACTTAAATCTGTTTTACCTAATTTCTACAAGCATGTCACGTGCAACCAGAGGAGAAAAAAAACAACTCTAGGCCACCTTTACTCCACACACAGAGACGCGTACAATGCTCTCCCTCCATTTGGCAAATCTGACCATAATTCTATTCTCCTGATTCATGCTTAAAAGCAAAAACGAAAGCAAGAAGTACCAGTGACTCGCTCAATACGGAAGCGGTCAGATGACGCGGATGCTAAGCTACAGGACTGTTTTTCTTGCACAGACTGGAATATGTTCCGTGATTCATCCGATAGCATTGAGGAGTATACCACCTCAGTCCCCGGCTTCATCAATAAGTGCATTGATGATGTCATCCCCATAGTGACCATACGTACATATCCCAACCAGAAGCCATGGATTACAGGCAATATCCACACCGAGCTAAAGGCTAGAGCTGCTGCTTTCAAGGAGCGGGACACTAATCCGGATGCTTATAAGAAATCCCGCTATGCCCTCAGTTGAACCATCAAACTGGCAAAGTGTCAATACAGGACTAAGACTGAATCCTACTACACCAGCTCTGATGCTCGTCGGCAGGGCTTGCAAACTATTACGGACTACAAAGGGAAACCAAGCAATGAGCTGCCCAGTGAAGCGAGCCTACCAGACGGGCTAAATGCCTTTAATGCTCGCTTCGAGGCAAGCAACACTGAAGTATACATGAGAGCACCAGCTGTTCCGGACGACTGTGTGATCTCGCTCCCTGTAGACGATGTGAGTAAGACCTTTCAACAGGTCAGCATTCAAAAGGCTGCGGAGCCAGACAAATTAACAGGACGTGTACTCCGAGCATACGTGGACCAACTGGCAAGTGTCTTCACTGACATGTTCAACCTCTCCCTGACCGAGTCTGTAATACCTACATGTTTCAAGAACGCCAAGGTACTGCCCCGTAGCACTCAGCCATAAAGTACTTTGAAAGGCTGGTCATGGCTCACAACACCATCATCCCGGAAACCCTAGAACCACTCCAATTCGCATACCGCCCCAACAGATCCACATATGACGCAATCTCAATTGCACTCCACACCGCCCTTTCCCACCTGGACAAAAGGAACACCTATGTGAGAATGCTGTTCATTGACTACAGCTCAGCGTTAAACACCATAGTGCCCACAAAGCTCATCACTAAGCTATATGGAGGAGGTCAGAGACCTGGAAAACAACCTCTCCCTCAACGTGAGCAAGACAAAGGAGCTGATCGTGGACTACAGGAAAAGGAGGGATGACGCCCTCATTCACATCGACGGGCTGTAGTCGAGTGGGTTGAGAGCTTCAAGTTCCTTGGTGTCCACATCATCAACAAACTATCATGGTCCAAACACACCAAGAAAGTTGTGAAGAGGGCACGACAATGCCTACTCCCCCTCAGGAGACTGAAAAGATTTGGCATGGGTCCTCAGATCCTCAAAAAGTTATACAGCTGCACCATCGAGAGCATCCTGACCGGTTGCATCACCGCCTGGTATGGCAACTGCTCGGCATCTGACTGCAAGGTGCTACAGAGGGTAGAGTGTATGGCCCAGTACATCACTTGGGCCAAGCTTCCTGCCATACAGGACCTCTATACTAGGCGGTGTAAGAGTAAGGCCCAAAAAATTGTCAAAGACTCCAGCCACCCAAGTCATAGACTGCTCTCTCTGCTACCGCATTGCAAGCGGTACCGGAGCACCAAGTCTAGGTCCAAAAAATGGCTTAACAGCTTCTACCCTACAAGCCATAAGACTGCTGAACAATTAATCAAATGGCTACCTGGACTATTTTCATTGACCCCCTAGTCACTTTACCCCTACCTACATGTACATATTACCTCAATTACCTAAACTAACCTGTAGCCCCGCACATTGACTCTGTACCAGTACCCCATGTATATAGCCTCGTTATTGTTATTTTATTGTGTTACTTTTTTAACTTTAGTTTATTTAGTAAATACTTTAACTCAGATTTTCTTAAAATTGCATTGTTGGTTAAGGGCTTGTAAGTAAGCATATCACGATAAGGTCTACACCTGTTGTATTCGGCGCATGTGACAAATAAAATTTGATTTGCTCCCACTTTCTCCCGTTGTGCTATTTACAAACAAACACATGAATGGCTCAACTGTTCTGGGAAACTACGGAAGCTTCATAATGTAAAAACAATGTGACAGGTGAAAAATGTATGCACTCACTAACTGTAAGTCGCTCTGGATAAGAGCGTCTGCTAAATGACTAAAATGTAAATATAGAACGTGATCTGCTTTATCTCCTAAACGTATTGCACAAGTTGACTGCAGGTATTTACTTAAAAAGTAGCTACAAATATACAAATGTATTGAAAAACTTAAAATAAATATTTCCGACAGCATTGAGAAACCATCTCATGGTCATTTCAAAATACCCCGGTATACGGTATACCACCCAAGCCTACACTCTTAGCTTTCATTTGAATCCCAATTTGACATGCTTCTATGAACTGTTCATGTTGGTGCTCATGGGTCCTTTTAGATGGAAATGCCCAGCTTCATTCTCTTACCAGAAAAGCATAAGGACAATAGGATCAAGCACCAACATCCCTAGGCTGCACATCAAACAGAGTAGCCAAACCCCACTGAAATGAACAAATAGCAAGCTAGGTTACCATCATAGCAAACCCTTCGCCCGGCTGACAGTAAATATTAACACTGTTTCATAGGCTTGGCAGCCATCTTATGACAGATGACTCTTGACATGAAGGGAAGCCCATCTTGACTGACTGCTAGCTGTACAGCCTGAGGTAGGCAAGGCTTACGGAAAGGCTCTCCTGATCCACTTAATCAGCTGCTGCAACCTGCCACCTGGCCTTGCCTATGGAAGACAGTGCAGGTTTTTTTTGGAGCACTTCTACATTTAAGGCGGAGAATACACAGTCTTGTTATGCCAACTCGTTTACAGACTGAGCCTCTACATGCACACAGGAAAAAGCCAGGTGTAGTTTTAAAAAGAGTTTCCCTTTAAAACAGCAGGTTTACAAACAGATGCATGCTGAAAGAGTGAGAGAGTGAGGAGAGAGAGAACGAGATGGATTAGAAGATACATACAGAATAGAAGTAGAGTCTGTAAGCAGGTTCTTCATCCTTATCCACACCTGACATACTTTTGCAGCCCACTTCAGCCAACCTGTTTCCCCTTGCCGGCATTGCCACTTGTGCTAGGTGATATCGTCATCTGACAGTAGGATCAAAATAGACAGTGTGTCGCTTGCACTGCTATAGCAACTTGCCCAGCTGTGTCAACTTCACCACCAATGGCGATTGAGAGAGCCAGGTGCTTAGCTGGCTGTCAATCCTTTCTGCTCTGTTTGTAATCAGGGCTGAGCTCTGAGCACTGTGCTGAGCTAGCAGCCAGCCCCCGGGCCCGTGCTGCCGACCACTGCTGCTGCGCGTATGCCTTCCTGCCACCCACCCGGCTCTCCTCTCCTCTCCTTTCCTCTGCACTGCTTCCTGTGTTTACAGCTCCTCTCACAGCACTGCATCGCAGCCCCCTCTCTCCCCCTCAGCACTGTGCAGTCATGTGCACGCACACAGCAGGCCTGCCCCTCAGCCCCCGTCCTCCACTGCCAGTAATGAGTGTAGCTGCAGGCCCAAGGAGTGTGCTAATGTAAGCCTGCATTAGCCAGAGAGGCTGAGGCTCAGCAGCATCCGATTGGACTTGGCAGTGGATAAATCATACAAGGCTGGAGAACAAACACAAACCCACATGGTCTGCCTGCAATTAATCATACAAAGCTGGAGGACAAACACAAACCCACATGGTCTGCCTGCAATTCATCATACAAAGCTGGAGGACAAACACAAACCCACATGTTCCACCTGCAACTGTGCCAAATGAGTAACAGTTTCAAAATAAGCTTTGCTACTAGCATATGAGGTATGCAGCAAGATATTTAGTGTGAGCAGAGATTCTTCTGGAAAACAACACAACGACAAAAAAAAGAATCAACCCTTTGGTGTCTTTAGCAATGAAAGAAAGGCTGAACTGGAACTATTAAGAATGTTTACTTTTTGTCTGAGCAATAACCTGAGCACACCCATCTTTAGAAAGAACATCCATCCACAGCTCCAGTGAATTATTGTTTTTCCTAATGACTGACATAACACCACAAAGTGAAGATTTGGACTGTTTTAATTTTATCAACTAATTTTGACAGCTGACAACGTATTGCCACATGTTGACAAAGCATTTCATCACTGTGTTTTGGCAGGCCATTTGTGACTATAACCAATACTTACAAATTCTAAAGGTTTTCATGCCAATAAATCCTTTGTGAGGGCATCGTAAATATATACATTCAAAATATTAAAGGGATCAGTCATCAGAGTAGGCTGCCCTCTAATTTGTAGCGAAGTTTAGCTAACGCTAGTTAGCAAAACAAAAGATCTAACGTAGCTAGTAAGTCAATATCAAATCATAGCTATATGAACCGAATATTATACCAAAGATTAGTATAACTAAACCAAGACAGACCACAGCCCGTCATTTCAAATGGGAACAAATTAGTCATAGTGGGCAGAACAAGCAAGGTGGTGGGCAGAGCCAAGCACGAGCTAGCGAGATCCTATTGGCGCATTTTAGCATACATTTGCATATTTATGTTATATTTCTCCAGGGCTCTTATTGTGCTTTAGAGTTTCCTCCTATTTTGTGCACTTGTGCTATAACTCAATTCGGCTTTGCACTCCTAAACAACGCAATTTTTTAAAAAGCTTTGGCAAAGGGTAAAGTCTACAAAACTTAGTCCACTCTGTTCGTAACAGATTCTAGTTCTGGGAAAATAAAATTGTATTGAGATCAAATGTTTAATCAATGAGAAAATTAGCAGAATGGCGGCCAAAATCTATGGAGCCAGATAGCTGCCAAAAGGTTGAATGTACGTATCGTTAGCATCGTAAGAAAATCCATGCATGAAACGTAAACGTGAAATTTCGTCTGTGAACATACAAACACCATGTTACGATTACGGAATAACATTTTAGGCTTGAACAAATCTTGTACTGCAATTCTGACGTACAATAATACCTTTCAGAGTTTTGGCAGTTTCATCTCACCAACAAAAAAATTGTACACCAAATGGCCTGTGAGGAGTGCTACGCCAGCATAACCTAGTACTAAAAAAATGGAAGTCAGGGAAACCGGAAAGAGGTATCCTGCACGTTTTCAAGTTAAGTCTCCATTCTCTATTACTAGTCTAGATAGCACTAACTGTATTATGCCTACAACAGTGAAGTTTCAGTCCACTAGGTGTATCTCTACAGCATGGGCATATCTCTGGGTGACGTGGACATATCCAATATTTTGGAAATGAAACCAGAAGCTGCAAAGCAACTAACATCTGGGCTAGAGTTGCTTGATTGACTAGCTAACTTCGACTAGCTACGTTCAGTTCATGTCCTTTGCAGATGCCACATTCCTGACAAAAGTTTGTACATATAAAAAAAAGATATGTAACCGAGTAAAGGGAGACATAAAGAAAGAATTGAACGTGTAAATGTTCATTCATAGTTGTAACATAGGGTTTGTAGATTTGCAGATCTAATTTAACAGTTATGTTTCACGCATGGCTTTTCTTATGATCCTAACGATTTACATATGGATTTTCTTAAGATCCTAACAATATGTACGTTCAACCTTTTGGCAGCTATATGGCTCCATAAAAATCCATCTCGTTCCATCTTCTCCCACTGCCGGCCACACATCCAGTGAAATATCGGTATTATTGTTCCATCTGTAACTATGCTCTGCGGCAACTATAATTAACATCACGACACAAGAAAACATTTACTTTGGACAGAAGGAATAAAACCCCTATCAAAAATGGCCTGCAATTCAACACACCATTAGCTACTTTAGTTGCCTAACTAGGTAAAAAATAGCCGTGGCTTTTCAGGTGAGCCGAGTTAGCGACAATATAAAGAACGCTCCAGAGTAGCGACAGTAGTAGCCAAGTTAGCTAACTCTCGATCAATTAATCAATCAAATGTATTTATAAAGGCCTTTTTTACATCAGCAGATGTCACAAAGTGCTTATACAGAAACCCAGTCTAAAACCCTTAGCTAATTGGTTTATTTTTGTTGGCTGGCTAAACGCGGTATTACTTTGCTGGTATATTATACAGTACAACTTTAAAATAGAGCTAGCTACCTTCGAGGCAACGGTTATGGGAGTATTCCTGCTTTTGCCTCCTCCATGCGAGGATCCAGAGCTGTTGCTGCCAGACCTCTCCCTCCCGTCTCCGCCTTGCCCTTGTCCAATTCTAGGGCCGAGTCGGTGTTGACCAGCGCCACGCCGTCGTCCATCGTTGCGACTGTCTTTTGACATTGACGTAATGTAATTCAATTCTCGGGGTCAAAGATAAACTTATTTGAAAATAAACTAATTTGTCGCGTTTTCGGTGTTGATGGAAACGACATAAGACACAACTGACAACTAAACGCAACCTAGCTTTTTGCAGGAAGTGTATGATCACATGTATGACAGACACATAGACTATCCAATAATGAATTGTTTGGTTGTAACGGAAGAAATACGAACCAATCACAAAGCTCATAATTCGGACTACCCAGGCGGGAGTTAAACTTTCAACCATGGCAACCAAGTAAATGGGCGGGATAAAAACAATTAGTAAAACATTGTCAAGTGGATCTTCTCGTCTTGTACGCTTGCTCGTCATACCCGTGTGTCATCCTCATCATTATTGCTGAAATATTTACCCAAACTGTGCGAACTGGAGCGAGGTATTGGAACAGGCAAAGGTTTGTTTACGATAATTATTCCTAAAGATAGCCAGGTATTCTCCTGTAGCGCGTCTCACTTCAGAATTGTCACATATCATGTATTTCAGGGAAATTCGTAGCATTATCATCCTAGCCAAGCAAGAGCCTAGTAGTAAGCGTAAGCATGGCATAGTTTTTTGGCTCAATGACTGTCAGCCAAACTTTGTATCAGTGGAGGCTGCTGAGGAGAGGATGGCTCATAATAATGGCTGGAGCAAATGGAATGGCATCAAACACGTGGAAATCATAGCTGTGTTCGAATACTCATACTAACTGCACTAACCTTACTCCAGTGTTGCCAACTCCTCAGTAAGGAAAGTAGGTATTGGCTGTCCTAAAATACGCTAAATGACGTCATCACTTAATTTGCATAATTTACCATGTGCATGTAATTGTGATGGACAAGAGAGGAATAATGTCCTGGGAGAGGCAAAAAGTGAGTAAAAAACACCCTAAATATGTTTAGAACTACAAATGACCTTTCTTCTGTCGTTTCTTGTTGTTTTTTTATGTCACAATTCCAACCCTCCTCCTTTATCCGTGCTTGGGACCGGCAAAAGTGACCCAAAAGAGACACACTGGCGGAGTTACTTTATTTTTTATTTATTTTTTATTAAATTTGGTTTGGTTTGTAACCTTATGTTCCACTTAGGAGCCTACAACAAGTCACAGTAAAACATGAACATTTTTAACCATAACATTTTTTACTTTTTTGTGTGTACAATCTACATTAACAATCTAAATGGACCAAAAAGAGACAATAGAAAAAACTGTCAATGGCAATGTGAGAAAATGATGGTAACTAGTTTGGCCCTAATTCAGGTTAATTGTTTTTTTTTTCCAGACCCCCCTCCACACACACACAGGCTGTGCTGGCTCACAGAAAGAGTGGGTCATCGTCATTTTGGTCAAGGCTCTCTATGGCAGGTTCAGCAACTGAGGGAGCTCATTTATGTCAGCTCCCGCAGTTGCTGATGTGCCAAAAAGCTGCAAAACATTATCAGGCAGCTGGTGCTCATAGAAAGCCTCACCAGAAAGCTTCAGTCCATATCGAATGTACAGGATGGAGTTAAGAGTCTGCAAGGACATCCGATTTCTAAGTTTGCTTTTTACCACACTCATCTGGCTGAATACTCTCTCGACTTCAGCATTCAAGTGTGGCGAGGACAACACAGACACAGCAGCCATGGCAAGTTCTTGAAACGGGTTGATATCAGCTGCATCCCTGAACTTCCAAATCTCACTCCAGAAGCCCAGTGTGTTTTTTGTCTCATTCCATTTACTAAGATGGATGGCACGCAATTGCTGGACAATCTTGTCTATCTCTGCAGGGGAGTAGCCAAGGAGCTTGGCTATTTTTTCTATTTCTCCAGGGCTCTTATTGTGCTTTAGAGTTTCCTCCACATTGAAAACTGACATGTACTGCAATGCTTCGATGTTGTCCGGCAGTCTCACCCTCAACTCATTAGTGAGGGAGATGGTGAAGGCTACACACCGCTTTCGGACATTGTTTTCATCCTCAGGCGCAAGGTGGAGCTCAGCTGCCTTTGACTCAAAAAGGTAACCAAGGTACGGTTTGGGACTGATGTATCCATCTATTGGCCCTTTGAGTACATCAACATTTGCCAGTGGATTCAGCACCCTGCTGCTCACAGACTTGATCAGGCTAACCAAGCTGTCAAGTAGCTTAAGAGGATCTACTTGCTCTCCCTCAAAAGCCTTGATGGCCAACTGTACCTCACCCAGCACTGACTTCAAAAAAGTCAGATACAATATGTTTTGAGGATCACTGTACATGGAGTATAAAACCTCAGCCATGTAGCAGTGTTCACTGGACTTGGTGACTGTGAAATGCAGCCTAAGCTCCTCCCACTGGTCCAAAATGAGTGAAACCGCGGGTTCAATGGAGAGCCAACGTGTGGCACACACCTTGGTTATCTGTAAAGGTTTCTCCCCACAGTTGATGGTCTCATATATGGCCTTGTAGGCCTCTCGTACCAAGTACTCCACACTACGGGGGATGGTGTCATTGGAAGCATGACTTACAGCAAGCTGCAGAGAGTGGCACACACAGCGAAAAAGAACCAGATCTTTGAGGCCATACTCCTCCTTCAGCACTTTATGGACCCCATTGTTAATCCCCGTCATAACAGAGGCATTGTCAATCCATATCCCCAGGAGTTTCTCTTTTTTAAGACAACACTTCACAAGGAAAGCCACAACAGCACGGGCTATAGATTTGGCATCTCCTCCCTCCAACTCAACAAGCCCCAGAAATGTTGATACAATTGTGTGCTTAGGTGTCACTAAAGTACCTTATCACAACCCCCAGGTACTTAGAAACACTTACATCCGTGGACTCATCGAGGAGGAGGCTGAAACGCTGGTCACCCACATCTGCGACCAACTTTTTCAGAAAGTATGGTGCTAGAACACCATTAATCATTTCTGTGCACTTTGTCCTGTGCATTTTGAAGTGGGTAGCAGCAGTGGAGTCTGAGAAAGCAGCTCTACATGCTTCTCCAATGTGATCACATGCCAGCATGGAACAGTGTTCAGCGATAGCTAATGCCATGGTGGCCTCAGCCTTTTTTGCAGAGTCAATTTTTTTAACCATAAATGGCAGCTTGTTTTGGGTGGAACTGTTATAAGGCTTTGCCTTTTGAGGATATTTTTGAGTTGTCATGTGTTTTTTTACATTACTAAATTTGGCGTAGAAATCATCCTTACAATACAGGCAGTATGCCCGTGTATCATCTCCAATATACGGCTTCAACCAGCCTTTGAATTCAGGGTTTGATTCCCACTCCTTTCTGTATATTTGAGTGTACAGTTTAGACTGAGACATGATGAGCTAGCCAGCTAGATGTTTAGCTTATGTCACAGAGAGGCACACACACAGTGGATGAGGTGAGTAAGTGACTGAGGCTGTGTGAGTCAAATGCAGTAATTTATTTTTGTGCAGTGAATTATTTTAGACAAAGAACATTTTACATCTCGCCCTGAATGTAAGCCAGGGCGGGATCAGCCAGCGGCGGCTTCCCGCATGCGCGATTCATTTGCAGTCTGGACGCGGAGGGGTGAACATCTCCTGCTCTGACTGCAGCTGGGAGGGACTGCTGCGCGAGGACTGGGCCGCCTGTGAGTGCTTTGGGACGGTGGTGGGGCCCACGGCAGCACCCGCTGCTCGTTGAGAAGAGTAAGAATGATACGTGCTTTCACGTCAAAGTCTCCAATAACACCAGAAAAAGTCGCTAGATTTGTTGCTAGTCAATTTTTTTTGAAAATGTGTCGCTAGAGGGGTCTGAATACTCGCTAAATATAGCGACAAAGTCGCTAAGTTGGCAACACTGCCTTACTCTTTGTGACGTCAATTGAGTATGTAATATGCTTATTGGTAATAGTATGGATATAGTTAGTATGCCAAAAGTTCCTGGATTCTTACTACATTCGCCAAAATACGATGTATACAAGCAGTAGACACTATTTCCGTGCTTTTAGGGCCCATAATGCAATTCTTCATAAAATGGGCGTGACTTCACAAAATTTTCCGAATTGAAGAAAATGGTGGAAAATATGCAGCCGAGGTCCGACGAGAGGATACAAATTCATTGCTTTAACTAATTATGACAAATGTTATGAAAATGTTGAACAATGTAATAAAGTAATGACTTTTCAAATAAGTTACATTACAAGTTATGTTGGCTGACAATTTGTTAGCTACGTTTTCGCCAATGAAGATGTGTTGAGTGAATATGACACAGATAAAGATGAGTTCATCAGTCTAAGTGAATTTATTGGAGATGTTCGAACTAATGGTAAGCACAGCAGAATGCTTTCTGTTAATCTAATTTTATTTGCCACATGCGCCGAATACAACAGGTGTAGACCTTACAGTGAAATGCTTACTTACAAGCCCTTAACCAACAATGCAGTTTTAAGAAAAAAATAGTTTAGTACAAAATAGATAAGTAAAAAAAAAAGAGAGAATTAAAGCGCAGCAGTAAAATAAAATAAGAGTAGGGAGGCTATATACAGGGGGTAACCGGTACAGAGTCAATCTGCGGGGGCACCGGTTAGTCGAGGAAATTGAGGTAATATGTACATGTGGGTAGAGTTAAAGTGACTATGCATAGATAATAAACAGAGTAGCAGCAGCATAAAAGAGGGGGTGGGGTGTGGTGGACAATGCAAATAGTCCGGGTAACCATGATTAGCTGTTCAGGAGTCTTATGGCTTGGGGGTAGAAGCTGTTAAGAAGCCTTTTGGACCTAGACTTGACGCTCCGGGACCGCTTGCCGTGCGGTAGCAGAGACAACAGTCTATGACTAGGGTGGCTGGAGTCTTTGACAATTTCTAGGGCCTTCCTCTGACACCGCCTGGTATAGAGGTCCTGGATGGCAGGAAGCTTGGCCCCAGTGATGTACTGGGCCGTACGAACTACCCTCTGTAGTGCCTTGCGGTCGGAGGCCGAGCAGTTGCCATACCAGTTGTGATGCAACCAGTTAGGATGCTCTCGATGGTGCAGTTGTATAACTTTTTGAG